TCCAGATTCTCCACCTGGCCATCTTTCGGGGGAGGGAGAGGTGCCTTCACCATCCCCCAAAGAGCAGCTTCCTCCCTCTCTGGGTCACTTGTCCCGGGGCCTCTTGCGCTTTCGTTCACCGTCAGGTTTGACGGGGGCCTGGATGGGTGGGGCGGCCTGCCTATGCCCAGCTCCACGGTGCCACTTGCTGGAGGCTGCTGCAGATGCGGCACGGGAGCAGGGGCAGACGCAGGGGGCCGCCATCGGCGACGAGCAGACTTGAGATGCTCATATCAACCAGACACAGCCAGAGATGGCGCTCCTAGACCACAAGTGTGGACCTCGCACGACCCAGAGAACTCGCGATGACCTTCGTCGCTCAGAGCGTGTGGTCAGTAGCGGTTCAGAGCTCTTTCAGAAGTTCCGGATCATGACCACCCTCATGCAGGTCCCTCAGTGACTTGGCCTGATGAACCTGCAGTAATGCCGTAGCTTGTAAGGCGGAGGCAGCTTCTCCACAGACTGTATAAGCAGCGCCGGACAGGCCAGACGAGTACCTACATACCCTGGATAGGAGGCACGGTTCGGAGGCGGTATTAGGACACAATTGCATCGCAATCGACCGCTCCACCGGGGGGACCCTTGTATACCCCCTAGCTGCACCACCGTCGAGGGTGGTGAGGGTGGAGGAACCAACAGGTCGGTTTCCGGCAGTAAAAGGTGCCGTCCATGACCTGGTGAGCTCCTCATGCACCTCCGGGAAGAAAGGCACTGAGGCGGGGCGCTGAGAACCAATGCGAGCCACCCTGAGAAACCAATCGACCAACCTCGAGGGCCCGGGACGCGGTGCAGGTTTCCACTAGAGCCCTACCCTCTCGGCGGCCCGGGAAATCATAGCCGACATCTCTGGATCCGATTCAGGCCTTGCCATCTTCCTCTCCAGAAAGCTCTCCCTCCGATGGCTGGTATGCTCTTTGAAGAGGGCCCAGCGTGTTCCTTTGGTGGCACAACTGGTTGCAAAGCGCTAGAGGAGCGATGGTCCCACGAGGGTTGGTTCCCTGAGGGGTTTGCCACCACTGTAACCCTCAGACCGCCCGCGCTACTGCCCTAAGTAGTCCACGCCTGGCTGCCGCCAGGACGAGCACTAGGCAACGGAGCTCTGCCCCCCTGGAGAAAAGGGAACCATGCCCGCAGCTCCGAGATGGGCATCTTCCCGCAATGGGAATTGGATTGGTCTCTCTAAGCGAGATCCCAATTCGTCGGTCACCGACGTGACTCGGAGTGACCAACTGAAATGGAACATTACAACTATTTCCTTAAAACATAAATAATGAAATTTCAAAAATGCAGCTCTTTTCTTAAGTTTTTAAAGGTGTCAGTCTACTCTTTGTCGACAGATATTAACGAAAACATTATCAAGCGAATCAGACCTCATATTAAAGGTCATTTTTCCATATTCCACCGGAGTGGTTCACAAGAAAACATGAGAAATTGCTCGTTATACTCAAGTGCCTTAACAAAACTTTAATCAGTGGTGTAATGTAACGAAGTTATAATACTTCATCACAGTACTTAAGTATTTTTTGGGAGTATCTGTACTTTACTTGAGTTTTTATATTTCAGCCAACTTTTACTTTTACTTTTACTCCACTACATTTCCTTATTAAAATGTATACTTTTACTCCGATACATTTCCCCAAAGCATATTCGTTACTTACTACAAAATAGTCAGAAGAATACGGACTGCAGGAAAACAGATTTGACGAATCAGTGGTTGGGCGTTTGCAAGTTCGCAAACAACTGCGGATGATTCATTTCCCACTCAAGTTGAGTCTGGGGTGTGCGATATACAGTATCTTCTGCAATAATATGGTAAGTGTTGTCGAAATGATGTGCAATCTGACATTATCAAGTAGGCTATATATTCTAAATTGTAGACGGCAAAAATGCTTCTGTATGCTTTTTATATTTATATAATTTAATATAGTTAACAATCTATATCACACAAAGAGTACCGATTTTCTGCAGATATCAGCATGAACACATTTAATAATAATTTTATACAAGTTCAATAAAGTAATAAGTGACTTACATTTTAGACATAATATTGCTTGTTTTTACTAAATTTTGCCAACGAAAATAGTTCCACACAAAGATCACAGCACTGGGGCCCGTTCTTCGTACGTCGCTAACTCAGTTAGCTGGATTTGATTGTTGATGATTTGGCAAGATCTTGGATTGGTTGGTTCTTCGAAGCTCATCCCGGAGTTGCTGTCATAGCAATAAGTCCTTAAGCTTAAACCTGCTCGGGAGCAGGCTGGATCCTGTATTATAATGTTGTCTAGTCATCATCTATAACACTATAGACACAGCCAGGTTTACTCGTTGAAAAATGTATTCGTGATGAAATAATTTATAATTGTATTGGAGTCTTACACACATGCTGTACTGAGTCGTGCATTAATTTGAGTGCTGACAGCTATTCTGGGAGTGGCTTGATGCGTATACAGCTAAACACGTCTCCGTGTGGATGGGGCCTTAGACAACTTAATCCAGATATTTTAATCAGTTCCGCAAATTCGTTTGAAGAACCAAATTAGCCAGAGATCAGTTATCACGATTAGAAGA